CGTGTCATTCTTCCTGTACTATCTATATATACAGACACACATATTACACACTACTGTTAAAAATATTCATTAATAAGTTACCTGTATGTTAATCTTTTATTATTAGTTCAGTTCCATATCTCTTCATGTATTATTAACCTCTCACGACAATGCTCCCATCTTCCCACAGCATCTTCCCTTGGTTGATATCTTACAGCCTTGAGTAACCTACATCAAAGGTCACACTCATTTTACATTCAATGAGAAAGATAATCTTCCTACTTATACAGACCACATAAAAGTCCTTGTGGCAAAAATTCTTGTAAGATGGAGCATACGATATCATAATAGTGACAGGGCGGGTGATACCCCAATACTACAATTTTGTAGCGACAGTAGCCATCAGATACATGGGTAGCACCCGCAACCTGAGAAAGTGGTATTGTTGTTTCTTGTATATAATGTTTGTATATTTTTTCTCAGTCTGGAACTGGTTTTAAGAGAATACTGTAACACATTCATTAAATATCTCTAGTATTTGAACTCATAAAAAAATATATTTGTTTTAATTTGGTTGTTGTTTGAATTAAGTAAAGAATATCTCACTGTTATTTAACTTTTGCCCAGTCTCCATATTTTCTTCAAACTCAATTGAGGTCTGATAATTCAGATTTTACTCCGTAATAATGTTTTTATTACAGTAACTAAACTCAAGTTTTAACATAATAACATTAAAAAAGAAATTTGGAAACTGGACTATAAACAAAATATCAATTGTTAATGTACACATAATAATATCAACTTAACAAATATAGTACAGTAATTAAACTCAAGCTTTGTTTGTTTGATGTTAAGTGTGAAGCTACACAATGGGCTATCTGTACTGTGCCCACCATGAGTACTTGAAACCCAGAGTTTGGCATTATAAGCCTTCAGACTTGCCACTGATGAAAAGCTTCAAAGGGTCAATATAAATCTACCAATGATACCCATGGGCCTCTTCCATTCAGTCAAGACATCCCAGAGGACCTCTTTAACTTTCTGATTGTCCTTTTTGAGCTGAGAGATTTCCTCCTGTTGTAAATGTTGATATTTGGCTCTCAGCTATGGTCTTGTAAAACTCCTCCACTACATTCTAAGCATAAAGATGTGGTAACCTCTGCCCATTATCTGATCTGCTGACAAAAAAACAACCATCTTTTGATGTCACAAGCTCGCTTTTCTGTAAGGAAATAGGGTTAATTGTTAAATAGTTAAGTACATCCCATGTGCACTGGAGAATGGTAAAGTTGAGATCCATATACTTAAGTTTCTTTGTGTTCAAACTAAATTGAAAGAAAATACAAAAACGGTATATGAACAAAGAGGAGAGCTAACAAATGTTAGAGTATCGTAAAACATGTTTATGCAAGTGAGAGCAAGAATATAGAAAAATATGAAATGAAAAGAAGCAAACCCATGACATTAATTAAATGAGTCGTTGGGTTGGTATATCTGCTCATTTCCTGAGCCAGTCCTCCTCGTGATTATAGAGGGCCCAGGCCTCAGTCTTTCATGTCAGCTGCTCCTGACAGTGACACTTGAAGGTTGGTATTTCTTACAGGCTTATTGGATGATTGATAATCTGTATAAGTGGAATGGTTGGCAGCTCTGGTTTCCTTAGTAACTGTGGTTGGATACATGGTTGCTGGGCTGGTTGTGGATTAGTCATCATGGAAATTAAAGTTACCATATTCACTTGTCATAATACTAACAATGCCCTAGTCCAGTAGAAAAGAAAGAGGTTAAGTTTGTAAACACTTGATCCCACTAACAACCAAAACAAGCTATCCATTGTAGCTTTAACCATGAGTATCCACTAACACTCACATCATCTTTGAACTCCTTTAAGATACAAAGTTAGAACAAGCCAAGTGAAAGTTGTACTCTTACAGCTACATTTCAATGACTTATAATTGCATCTATACTGAAAGAATGTAAACAAAATATTCAATTAAAGTGTATGGTTACAAAACATTTCAATATACATGACTTAAAACAGTCAGTCATAACCAAGTTTATATTTCATATGACATTTTGATTTGATCCAATATAAATATTTGTATGAAGGTAAAATTATCCACTACAACTGAAAACAATAGATCAAGATGTGTTTTTCCCTCAGGTGTAGCATGAGCCTATCTATTACTTTTATCTTCTCAACGAAAATGCACTACATGCCAAATAATTCAATATCGAAATTGAAACATCTTTTCACCAGCATTAATGAAAATATTAATTACTCTGAACCTTCAAATAATGCTCTACAGGTCAGTAATAATAGTTAACTTCATAACTCAGTCTTAATATTCATATTAAACCTTTTATGTGTAGCTCATTCAGCTCTGTTATACAACACTCAGGAATAACTTTATATGAAAAAAATCTGTACACATTAGACACAATACATACACATCTATTCAGGAATGTGTATTACCACATACAGATACACCAATATTACACATAATCACACATACTAGTAGTTTAAGACAAACTGTCTCCACAGGCTTGTGCTGTGAACAGGGTATCCCACATGGACTTTTTTTGTTGCTGGGTGTGTTTTTTTATTAATGAAATTATTGTAGTAAGTAGCACAATGAAAAAATGTGGCTAGAGAAAACAAAGTTGAAATCAAGTGGCATAAATGAAAGTGCAGAAAGAACTAAAAGAACGTAGCACTAAATACAGAAAAGTAGTTGATCAAAGCATTGGGAATATCAAGTGTGAACAGAGACAGTGATGAGGAAAGAATGAACCTGTGATTCTGTGCTATTGTTCACAGGGATTACTGTACATGGAGTTATGTTGCCCTCCTTATGGTTGATGATTACATCATAAGCTAGCTCAGTAAACATAGATACATGTAAAGGTGGGTGTTTGTCCAAAACTTATGACACGAGCAGAAAATTTCACATCATTTGTGTATGAGTTAATTAATAGCTCCTAATAGTGCAAAGGTAATTAACGTTTCTGTGTGTTTGTTTTTATAGAAAAGCCATATTGGGCTATCTGCTGTGTCCACCATGAGGAATTGAACCCTGGATTTTACCGCTGCCCCACGAGGGGCCGTAACATTTTTGAACCAAACTACATTCTATGAAAAGACCAGTACAGTGATACTAACTTTGATACGTTCATGTCCAAATGAAGAAGTTACAGAAGGACAAAACCTATCAGTTTTCAACTGCTACATACTCACATATGCTGTTGAGGAAAATTTGATTCTTCCCATCTTGTTTGAAACTAAAATCCTTTGAACATTAGTTATGACTTTAAATCAGAAGCATAGCACAGAATGTGTGGGCCCTCACGCACCATGAGGTCTGCAGGAACAGTTGCTACACCCCTGCTTTACATAGTCTTTGTCAATGAACATGATATTTAATGTATCCTTCATGAATTGTACTCTCTAATAGATCAATTTTTAAATACTGTCACTAATAACATCAGATTTAACTATAAAACTTTGAAAATACTAGTTCAATACACAAGTCCAAATTCTTTTGACACCAATTTGCCAATATATATATATATATATACACACATATATTACACACCCTCTACAATTAAATTTCATTTTTACTGAATCATCATAATAATATTTTTTGCATTACAGAGAAGGATTGAAGAGTTTCACATTAATGATTAATACTTGAATTATATAATTTCCTGTCTGTATGTATATGTTGAGAAATGTATATGATCATCATATCAACGTTACTAAAAGTTCTGTCATGAACATAATATTGCCATACACTCATATTTAAGGAGAAAAAGCATTGTTTCTGAAGCTTCTGTGTTTATCAGTGGATTTTTGTGCTGACAGATGATTAAAACAGGTGCTGAGAAATAAATATCTTGACTTATCAGAAGAGTAAAGATTACTTAAATGTCTTATTTAAATCCAATGCAAGAACTTGTTAAAGATCCACTACCTCCCAGATAATAAAGTAATCTTTGTTAATACAATAACAACTATAACTAGATACACTACTTACATAGACATTTAAACCTATGTCTATTATTGGTAATTTTCTTACTGTATTTAAATATTAAGTATTAAAGTGTCTAAACTATAACATGATATTAATTCAACAAACTGAAATACACACACACAAACATATATATATAGCATAGGCTGTTCTTTTGTTTTGTAGAATTCCTCTGGTGATTTCACTTTATATTTATAAAACAACAAGGTCCTATTGCATGTCAATATTAAAATAGAAAATATACTATTTTTAGTACATTTAACCAGTTACGAATTCAACCTGATGATGACAAAACCTTGTCGAAACGTTGTACATTTGCTGTTGTATTAAAGTTTTTCTTCATTACCCATTCAAGCCGTCTCCAGCCATTATTTAACCAGTTAATTTACAAGAACATGTTAGCAACTTGGAAAACAATTATAGTTTTTAGCTATATAAGTGATAAAGAACATTATTTTATATATTGGTTATTAACAAGAGAAAAATTAAATCCACATAATTATATATTTGGCACAAGCACAAATTAAATGTAACAAATGTGATCTTTTCTTACTTTTTTTATATTTAAATATTGTAGTTTAACAATGATCTTTAAATTAATAATACTATACCACTGTCTACATACCAAAATAAATATAACAGTATCTTAAATATTTAATGTAGATTTTATTGGTCAGAAGTAAACTTTTCATGGTTTAAACATTCAAGTCACTATTAATTAATAAGTGGAAAACAAAATCATTAATTTTACTTGCAATGATTGATGTACTTGTTTCTTTTCCATGTTATGGTAGTTCAATAAGACTACATTAACTACTGAAGTATTACATGAATAAACCTATCACACAGTTACCTGATTTTTCCTATAACTTGAAAGTCATCATATCGTCAGGTGATTTGTTGAAAGACAATGTGTAAAGTTAAATACAAGTGAATGAACTAAAGGTTGGAAAGGAACTAGTACATTGTAGTATAGAGTTGAAGTTAAAACTAAATGAAAGAAAACTGTATTTACATTTTAAAAAATTCTGAAATAGAATATGTTCTAAACAGAATCGGTAAACACTTAAGAAAATGTAATCCCACTGTGTATGTTGTGCTCAAAAGACAAGTTAAATTCATCCAATACCAAGATGACATGACCCATAGAATCCGGTGTTGTACTTTCGTTTCAAATGAATGAAAATGATGACACGTTTCCCCTGGACTTGTTGCCAATTCATTGGAAGGTAGAAGTTAGAACAGAGCAAATTGGGGTAAAGTTTTTGTCCAACCTTTTGGCTACAAGTCCAAAGTTGCTCTCAATATGATGCATGAAAAAACAATATTAATATTAGTATTTCAAAATTATCACAACTTTTTATGTTAGATATTTTATAATTTTGACACTGTAATCATGTAAACTTACCTTGCACAATTTAATTATCCAAGAACTTCTAAACGTATGTAAACAAAGAGAACAAAATGAATTTCTGAATGTGCAGTTCTCCTACAGTGACAACACCAAAACCTTCAGAGACCTTGATTCGATTCCACACTGGGTCTGATGAGACTGAGTGAAAACTGACAAAGATTCTGTACACCTTGTTGTTTATCTGTAAAATGAATGAATCAACTTCTGAGTTAAATGAATATTATATATATATATATATATACAGATGATGTATTAAAATGAAGATTATGAACAACACATGATAGCAGGTAAAAAGTCAATGTAGCATGTACATATTGAAAAAAAAACCACAATAAAAAGATTAGTTTAACTAAATTTATTATTTTACTTGTGCTCATCCAAATTTCAGATTATTTCAATAAAGTGCCTCCTGACTGTAATGATACTGAAATTATAATTTTATATTGCTGTTAAAAACAATGCTGTTACTTCTTATTGCCTTTTTATATTATAAGCCAAGATAAAAATAGTTTGATGAACATATTCATTTTTTTTATTTGTTGTTAAGCTCAAAGCTACACAACTGACAAAATAATGCATTTCAATCTTTATAAGTAGAAGTATTAGAAAAATATGTTTAATTAGCTATACTGCTTGAAAAGTTGATTTTTGGTTTTATTCTAATTCATAGTTTCCATGACTGCATCTGAAACACCTAAGGTTGAATTAGTATATATGACTTTGAACAAATTCAAAACATATTTGTGAATACTAAATAAATACTATAAGAAAATGATATGTGGTATTACATGTCATACTACTAACTATTAAAATAAAATAATGCTTAATGTCTCAAGTACAACACGAAGAAAGAAGGTTTAAAAAAAAGGAAGTCAAAAGAAATATCCTTTCTCCTCTACTTAAAGTTATAATAAATTCACTTTAGATCTACCCTCAGACATTGGTTATGTACTGTTATATTAACTGAATAATGCATTCCATCATTGGGTATGATACTTTGGATTATTTGGTAAAAATAACACAGAGTCCATTTTACATAATGATGACAAAATAACTTATTTCTTCAATAACACCTGTTACAAGCTATGATCACTGTTAGTATAGCATCACAAACAAACTTTTATGGGTAATTCTAAAACAAGTGTGCACCTAACTTACAAAATTTCCTTGCTAATGACTTGATAACCAAGACATTGAAGGAATAATTTACTAACTTGATCACTGATGAACAGATACTCTAACTTACTCAGTCTGGCATTTTTATAGTGTGTTAATTTTCTACATACTACAGGTATCTTTGAGATTCACCACCATTAGTCATGTAAAAATAAAAATAAATCTTTCCTCTAGTGAACAAACGTTAAAATATTATTATAACAGAGCTTGCAATGTATACGTCCAATACTCGGATCTTGGGAACTACCCCCATACGATTATCACCAATCATAACTGGGTAAAAATTTATAACTAGGCAACATTTTTATAATAAAACAATTGAAATTTCCACAAAAAAGGAGTAAGTTTCAAATATAAAAGAATCAAAAACAAACTTAAAAAAAACTATTTGTCTTTCTTTACTGAAAATCATATGAGTGTTGCAACAGAAAAGCAAGACACTTTCATTGATAACTGCATCTACAAAGAAATACTTCAATAAAATCTACTCTGTGATGATAGCTCATTTTTAAACTAAAATCTCAATAAAATCCTTTTTCTCCTGGATGGTGAACATTACTGAATGTCAAGTACGAATACATTGTTGCAGAACTGTCAGACAACTCCAGAAAAGGCAGCAGGCCCAATAGCCTTCTGCAAGGAACTAGCAGTTATACCTGTCCCGCTAGGCAGGTATTTCTGTTAGTGATAATAATGTATCCTACAACAGTACTGTATGTACATATACAAATAGTTTAAACAAAAGACTTCCTGGTCCATCTAGACCATCCCATCCAATAAACTACACTATAAATTAAAAACTCAAAACCAGCTCTTGTCATAGCAATGTTTATCAAGCCTTCTCTTATATTCCCTTAAGTTGCATTCAATACATCTGGAGGTAACTCATTCCCTGGCCAACCACTTTGTACAAAACATAAAACTGTCTTAGCTGAAGATATATCCTACACTGCCAAAATTTATATTTATGCTTCTTAGGCCTACCATTCTCACCATTAAGTATGACTAGAAGTTGATGCAGCAACAATATCAATTCCCTTAACAATCTTAAACACTAACTCTTTATTTTTCAAAAAAAACAAATATAGATTTTAACCTGTTTTCATATAACAACCTTTTAATCATCTTTGTAACTACTAACTATCCTATAAACTATTTCCAACAATTCAGTGTCTTTCCTAAAGTAAAAACTCAGAAGCCCAAAACTGAACACAAGAAATGTGGCCAAACCAATGAGGTAGGTTATACGATGAAATTATATCCTTTTTAAATTTGTATTAAGTATTTCTGTAGTTACAAACTAAAATCCTATTTGACCTACCAGTACCACTAACAACAGCAGACTGCTTGGTTTGATGGCTTAAGAATAAGAGAATGTTCAACTAGAACACCAAGACTTTTTGTCTTCTGTAACATTGTTAATGTTCTACTGAACAAAATTATACTCATATTCAAATTATTATATTACGCATGTATTACTTTACACTTTTTACATAAAAAATAATTGCTATTAACTTGCCCAACTCACTAAACAATCCAAATCATTTTGTAAAGAACCATCTTTTTCACAGCCACCAACAACCAAAATCTTGATATAATCAGCAAATTTAAATAATTTTTGACCATTCCTTTATCTATGCTACTGACGTAAGTTAAAAAGAGCAAAGGTAGTATAAACTTTGCCACTATGATATTAATCTGTTTTAACTGAACTCTATTTATAACAAGCCTCTACTTTCTTCCATCCAGCCAGTTATCCATCTAATGAGCTAATCTATCTCCTGAACCTACAAAGATAAATTTGTACATCAGGTTTATTGTTATTCATTTATATTACTTATTCGATTTATAAGTGAAAATGCTGATGAAAGAAAATCCAAGTCTCGATTTGTATGTAGCTGTAAATGTAACAAAACCAGTTTTAACAAACCTAACAATAGTTTAATGTATGACATGCGTAAACGATTGATTTTAGTTATATATATATATAAACATGCCTTTACTTATATTTTACCTTTTTATCCCTTCGGTGGTTTAGAGGGCTTCTCACCCTAAAAATTTGGTTTCAAATATTTATTTTATATACGAACTATATCAAATTGCCCAGGCTGTACTGTATCATAACAATCCTACACTTTATTGCTAAATACCGATCATCACCACGTTTTGTTTAAATTTGTGTTCTCCAGGAAACACAATGTTTATTAATATGATTATTCTTTCGTCTTTGTTTTGCTGTTTAAGTCTTTCGCCGAACACTAGTATAGTTTATTAACATATGCTCGCCTTGTTGTTAATTGGGCTAATCCGACCGCAGACTTAATCTACAATTACAACAACGTGCAAAGGCGGTTAGAATTGAACGTCATCATAACACATAAACACACCAAGATAATACATCACATTATCAAGTAATACAGCGCTTAATGGTTGTCTGTCTCTGAGCTTATATTATAATAATACCATTGTGTGTGTTCATGTAGAGCTGTTATTATTTGGCTGACCCCTAGGTATAAGAACGTTATGACGTGTTTCAAGTGTAATAACATGATAAAATTATCGTACATTTTAAATATTTTTTGTGTATTATTGATTGTACGTTGTACAGATGTTAATGTTATCATAAAATACGATCATTATCGAACATCTGGCAGCAACGTGGAAAGGGTAATACTTTATGGTATACAACTTGACGTACCCTCGGCCGTAGCAATAGTAGACTATTCCAAATAGTTTGTTAAAGAGAAGAATCACGTTAAATACCGATTACGTTAACTTATTCCAACAGATAATCAAAATGGATATAAAAGAATTTTCAATAGTTTATATAAATTATGATAAATTAAAATAAACGAGATAATTTGGTTAGTACTTAAAATAAATTGTATAGAATCTAAAAGACACCATAAACATCAATGGGTAATGAAAGCTTAATAATAAATTATTGCCGAACATTCTTTGTACTTACGTGTCTTTTTTTGCTGTCGGATTGTCGATGACATTTAAGCCTATTTTTTAATTTTTGAAGTTCCTGAAAAATGGAACAATTAGGAAACAAAAATTAGAACGATCTTATAACGGAATTTGATATTTATTAAAACTTTTACGAATGTATTACAATGTCAGTAATTTAACGAAACCAGAACAAATATATTTACAATTAACAAATACAAATAGGGCTTAAGTTGCATGAAGAGCGTTTTTCCTTCCTTACAAAGTAATAAATTCTGCAATAATATCATTAGCAGCAGGGAAAAAGTATTTGTATGCTTTGTGTACTTACGTTTATATTTTGTTTTGTTTTTTAAGTATTACAATTAATAATGTCTTGACTCTAGAGGGTTAAAGAAAATTTCATTCACTGACGGTTATTTCTCAAAACTCCTCATCTCTGTATTTCAGAAAGCCTTCTCGTGTAAGTGACAATGGTTTAACAAAAGATCATGACTGATTTTAAATCACTATAGAGATGTAACAATCTACACTTATCTTTACTTCAGTATAAAATAATTAGAGACTGAAACATCGAAGAAAAAAACAACTCCCCACACAGAGTGCAGTGTGTTATTTGGAGCTTCAAAGCTGTTTCTTAGATTGACTTCAACCACCTATGTGGTATAGTACATACATTCTCAACTCTTAAACTTTTAGCCCGTCATGAACATATTAAAACTAGGATAAAAAACAACAACATTGCTTTATCATCTTTCTTTAACTCTCACAGGACTCTCTGTCCAGAGAATTCTTAAAGAACTGGCTAGCAATAAGGATATCATTGTTACCTGACTGGATAAGGGTACTGAAATTGTAATTCTTAACAAACGGGATTATATTGACAAATTCTGCAAGACACTAATAAGTTTATGTCTTTAAATACAAACCTACTTAACCATTCAGTGTGGAAAACTGCAATGTGTATTTAGAAATTTAAAAACAACAACAACAAGTTATTTCTGATAACACTTTCAATGAACTCTGTCCTTCAGGCACCTCCCCTGGTGTTATGTTTGGCCTTCCCAAACACAATTCCCCACCCAGACCATTTTTTCCAATATCGACACCTATAGCTACAATCTTGCTAAATTCCTAGTTCCTATTTTAAACCCCTTAACGACTAATGCTTATGTCGTCAAAGATTCGCTCGTGAAATTTCTCAATTTCCGGACGCCGACCAATATATTATGGCAAGCTTTAACAATGAATTTATTTTTTACTAACATTCCTTTAGAATAATTGTTTGTTTGTTTGGAATTAAGCACAAAGCTACACAGTGGGCTATCTGTGCTCTACCCTCACGGGTATCGAAACACGGTTTCTAGCGTTCTAAGTCCTCAAACATACCGCTGCTCCACTGGGGGCCCCTTTAGAAGAAACGATATAAATCTGTCTAAACAAACTATTTCCCAGTAAAGATGGACTGAGGGCTGGATTATACAAACAGTAACTTGTACAACTATTTAATCTAGCCTTAAAAGAAAACTACTTTGTATTTAACGGTCAATTGTATGACCATAGAGATGGCGTTGCGATGGGTTCACCACTGGGACCCTCCCTAGCTAATATCTTTCTTTGTTACCATGAGCACACATGGTTAAACAAGTGTCCTTCTGACGTCACACCTGCGCTCTACAAATGGTATATAGATAATACATTCTTACTTTTCCGTGAACATAATAACAAATTACTCAACCACTTCAATCCTAACGTACAATTCACTTATGAAATTGAATATAAAAACAAACCTTTTTTCCTTTTGACGTTTCATGTTCAAAAATAGGACAACGAATTTGGCACTTCCGTTTACAAAAAGAAAATGTTTACTGATTTGTCCACACGCTTTGAAAGTTTTCTGCCAAAATCATTCAAACTAAACTAAATCTTAACTCTTCTTCACAGGGCCTACTTGATCTGCTCGGATTACACGTGTTCATAATGAAATAACTTTCCTTCAGAACACATGTGTATCCTTCATCCTTACTAGAAAACGTAACATGTAACTTTCTTACTAAGAAAAGAACTCCACCGAATAATATCCAATCATGTTCCAAATTCCCTATAATATTTGTTATTCCTTGTCGTGGAAAACAAAGTATTATTGTTAAAACCCAACTGTAGAAGCTACTCAGGTCCTTCTACCCCTAGATTAAACCCCAACTCAACAAGCTACTCAGTCTTTCTACCACCAGATTAAACTCGGTATTGTCTTCAAATCGTCACTTGCTATCAGTAACTTTTTTATAACTAAAGACATTTTACTTTCAAAAACTTTTTAATTCTAACTTATGGATGTAATGATCACGTACTGGTGATAAAGGAAAGTCTACATATTATGAACGAAAATCCAAGCCTTAATAGAAATTCAAACTCGTTCCCTCCTTGCTTTATTCAAATAGCTCTTCCCCCCCCCCTCTCTTTGAATGAATGTTTTAAGATTTTTTTAACATTATTCGGGGTATTTTTATATTTGCAATTGTTATAAAGATTGTTCAATTTGCCGAAGATGGAATATGTGTAATATCCGAAACGTTTATTTAAAGATGGAATATGTGTAATATCCGAAACGTTCATTAATGATGGAATGTGTTATATCCGAAACGTTCATTAATGATGGAATATGTGTAATATCCAAAACGTTCATTTAAAGATGGAATATGTGTAATATCCGAAACGTTTATTTAAAGATGGAATATGTGTAATATCCGACACGTTCATTAAAGATGGAATATGTGTAATATCCGAAACGTTCATTAAAGATGGAATATGTGTAATATCCGAAACGTTCATTAAAGATGGAATATGTGTAATATCCGAAACGTTCATTTAAAGATGTTTACAATTGTTGCTGTTGCTCTACTATTAATAATTAGAGACTAAAGTGGCCTTCACTAAAAATTGTTAATTTACCAAACTATTATAAAAGTTGATAAATTAATTTTGTGGCTAAAATAAAAGCCTCAGTCAGTAAAATATAAAATACTGTGGTTATACCTGTATTATCTAATACACTAAAATCAGGGGTTCGATTCCTTGCGACAGTCAGAGCGCGCATAGTCCATTATATAGCTTTTCGCTAACGAAACATCACCAACGTCAAACGTATTGCTCAAATTGTTGTTTAGGGTTTG